ATAAAAATGCCAGTTTCTCTTTATCAAGCGCTTCTTCATCTACTCAATCAAATTCATCATTCGCGTTGAATAGTTGGCGTAGCAGAGCGTGCTTTTCCTTGCTTTTTTGTTTGATTTACGCTTACGAGTTCGCTGCTTCAACCAAAATTTATTCGTATTTTTTTGTAAGCGCATTCATCTTCTGCCTTTGAGCCATTGATAGCTCCACTTTGCATAGAACGAACGTACGAACTAACTATCTATGCTCTCGCTATTCAGCACATCATTACCATGCAAATTTCCTTTAAATTATTTTTTATCATTTTTGCTACAATGCAAACACTTTCTTTGCTGATTATTTTTATACGAGCACATTTTTGTAATTTTTATTTTTAAGAAGAGCATTTTATATGCTGGTTTTCTTTCACTTTCGTTATGATTTGGTATTTTATTCTGCTTTTTTTCCACAAACACAAAGTTTTTCGCAAGTCTTTAGGCACTTTGCGCCCTGTCACCGCTTCACCTCGTTGCGCTCATATTCAAAACGCTTTTCACTTAGCGTACTCGTACTTTTCGCGTGGCTTAAATGACCCACATTGCACTCGAATGTGCACTCCCTGCACAGTTGGCAGGCATTTTTCAACGCTTACAATTCTCAGGCCACCACCGCCGCCGCCGTCTCTGCTGCTGCCACAAGGCTCTGGGTAGGTCGTTGGTTGCTTGATTGGGCGGGCGTGCAGTGCCTTCAGATCATTAATAACCCACAAGTGTAGTAGGTACGTGGGCATGGTAGGCCGAGCGGCACTTTAGGTCTTTAGCTGTTTGTAATGGTGCTGGTGTGTGTTAGTACTGGTGTCGCGTTGCACACGCCCATCTATCAGGCCGTTTTACCAAATAATTTCCACACTTTGTGGCAGTAAGTTTTTTGCATTTTTATTTTTCATATGCTCATATGGCAAATTTTATTTCCGTAATTTTGCATTCAAATGAGAGAGGATAGAAAAGGCGAAGGAGTACGAGAAGAAGAAGCAGCAGAAAAGGTGTAGGTTGAGTAGGAGGCAGAGAAAGCTCATTTTCGTCTGCCCATTTTTGGGCTTGAGCATTTATAAAAAATGCATAAAATTTGATTGAAAACTTTGTGGCACCTTTACATGTGCGCGCGCGCGCCTACTACGTGTGGGACCTGCATGGCCCAACTTAGCAAGGCACATAACATATTTCTAGGTATGTATGTATGTGTAGACATTTGTGGCAAGTAGAGTGCAAAATAATTTCAGTGCTTCACCTCCAGTGCGAGAGATTTGTCTATTTTTTCCTACCACTTCTCAACTCATCCACGGTATGTACATACATATGTGGTATGTGGCAAGGCAGGTAGGCGACCTACCTACCGCCCATTGAATGCAAATTTAATGCGCTCGCTGTCCGTTGGGATTTCCCATTGCCCAAATGCGCTCACAAGAGTACATGTGTGCTCATCAGCGTGTTGCAGCTGCCAAGCACATATCCTTTTGTCTACCACCAACTATTTAAATGCAGCTATGCATGTGGAGGTATGTTTGTATGTGTATAAATGTGTGTACATGTATGTGTGCGCCCTGTATTATGCATGCACTGTCGGTGCATAGTTTATTATATTTGTTGGCAACATTTTTTCGGTATATTCTTATTAAAAAAAGTTCAACTTTTTTTTTGGGTATTATTTATGCATATTTTTTTTTTTAAATCTACTCCCTTTCTCTTTATTTTTTATTTTTTATTATTTCTTTTATTTTTTATATATTTTTATTAATATCCCATATTTTTTATTTATTTTGTTTTTATTTATTTTTATTATTTTACATTTATCTCTCTATTTACCAATTTCTTTTCTACTCTGACCTAAAAGCGCATTGTTAGCTTAAAATGCAACATGAGTTATTCATAGAATTTTATCTACCGAAAAATATGCGATTTTTCATGAAAGCCTTTGTTGAATATCTGAGTCTGTGCTTACGTTCGTTTGCCATTGGTTTGTTTATTGGCGGCGTCTCATTTATTTTTAAAAAACTTTTCAATAGCTTATCAGGCTTTTCATGTAAAAATTGGGTTATTTTAATCTGCTTGGAGCTGTATGTGTGTTTGGCTGTCGGCATAAGCATATGTGAGGTAGTCGTAAAATAATTTAAATTATTTCATTTCCATTTAATTTACTTATTCCATTTTTTCCTTTTAACTGTATTGGTTTAAGTATATATTTTTTGGTTGATAACTCTGTAAAATATTACAAAATCGTGCTTGAGTAAATACTCTTTCAACACCGTTAATCATCTGTTTAAACTCAGGAGAAGAGGAAATTTGATTTCGGAGCTGTGAATGACTGGTTAACATGAGGCAAAAAGTTTGAGCGCTCTTCTAGGCTCAGCCGTTGACGTTTAGATTCATACTACTCAAGTAAGGGAGATTATTTTTCTTTCTAAAGTCTTCAATTCTTGACAAAGATAAGACAAAAGCTCTTCACTATTTCAATGCAGTACGCCTATGATTTCTCTCACGCGCTCCTGGCAACTTAAACCGCTCTATCGCGAGAATCCACTGACACCAACAGCAAGCAATGAGTGCTCTCACGAAGTACTGCTTAGCTTCAAAAAATCTCACTATAGAAACACCTTGTTTTACTACCGAGTATTTAAAAATAGCAGCAAGCAAGTTCAAGCCAAAACAATCGCCCGGATGGCGTTCTCAAAGTCGTTGCCTTAACACATTCTAATCTACAACTATATATGTTTAATGCCTGTCTGATGAGAACGTTATTTCTAGAAATCTTAAGCAGACAACAGCTTGTGCGGGGAGCCCAGACTCCAAATTGACATACCGGAAAACTTCCCGAAAGATTATCTGAACCGAGCTTTTACTAATGCTGATGGCCTCTCATCAAAACAATATAGTTTTCGGCTCCTTAGCTTGACAATGGGAGCAATCGAGAGCATAATAAAGAGCAACAGGGTTGTCACAAATTCAAGCAAATAGTCCTACTCGCCACTTTGGACGTTCGAAATGACTTTAATAACACGCTAGAGAAAGATGACATAGAAAATAAAATCTGCATCCCCCGGTACTTTATCCTAACGATGAGATATTATATGAAGTCTCTGACTTTACCAGACTACAGACGGGAAGCGATAACACAAGGTGATGACAGGATCAATACAGAACTCCATAAACGGACAAACCCAATAGCAAGTCAGTTAAGAAAGCCTTGAGATGGCGGAGAGCTCATATCCTGTAGGTTATGCTGACGACATTGCTGCGTTAAGTACTGCGCGTAATACGAAAGACGCACATAGGAAATTAAGTGAGGTAGGGAGAAAAACAAATATGTGTTATGGCAAATGCAATCTCGAAATCGCAGCAGAATAAACCGAGTTGCTCCTATTTATGATGAATTTATACGTATAGAAAACTCTGATACGCTGAGGACAACAAGAATAATTGACTAGCTGGGTGTAAGACTGGAACCTAGACTGTGCTACTGAGCTCAAATCCAGTAAGCTGTAGTAAGGATCTCTGGAACCTCTTTCTAGCTAAAAAAAAAGAGTTCTCATTCCAGTGTGGGCAACAGCTTTTTAGAGGGGAATTGATTAGGTAGCTGCAGGTGGCGTTGATGGGACGACACAATGATGAAGCCGAATACATTCTTCTTCTACTCAGCTGCGAAAGAATACGTGAATTAAAGGTGCAGTGGCTATCGATGTCAGAGTGGACCTAATGAGATCACAATGTTTACGCGATCAGTAAGTTTTAATATCTATCCACTTCATTACTTCTATAAAAGCCAGAGGGTGCGAAGTGTTGTAAATTGGTTTCAGAAAAGTTATCGGTTTCACCATTTTAGGCAATGTTCATACCAAGAAGATATTTCGATTCTGCTAAATTGTTTAAAATTTCCCATTTTTCTAAAAAAAATTCCAATTTTACAAACAAAAATTTAATTTTTTTTTTAAATTTCAATTATTCAAAAAATTCCAATTTAAAAAAAAAAATCCAATATATCAAAAAAATAAATTTCCAATTTTTCAAAAAAAATATCCAATTTTTCAATTGTTTAAAATTTCCAATTTTTTCTAAAAACAAATTTAAATTTTATAAAAAAATTCCAATATTTAAAAAAAAAATTCCAACATATCAAAAAATAAATTTCCAAATTTACAAAAAAAAAAATCCAATATATCAAAAAAATTAATTTCCAATTTTTCAAAAGAAAAATCCAATTTTTCAAAAAAAAAATTTGTTTTTCAGAAAAAGTTTTTCAATTTAAAAAAAAAAAATATTCCAACTTGAAAAAAAAATCAAATTTTTCACAAAAAAATTCCAACATTTTAAAAAAAGAAATTTATTACCAGCTTTTCAAAAGAAAAATCCAATTTTTCAAAAAAAAAAAAAATTGTTTTTCAGAAAAAGTTTTTCAATTGTCAAAAAAAAAAAAAATATTCCAACCTGAAAAAAATCCAATTTTTCAAAAAAAAAAAATTCAAATTTTTTAAAAAAAGAAATTTATTACCGGCTTTTCTAGCAAACATTTTTATTATAAAATTTTTGTATCGAGTTTTTCACCGAATTTTTTAATTTCCAACAAAGATTTTCAGTTACTATTATTAAGTAAAGTTTTTCGATTCGCGATTTTTCCGGGAAAATCTCTTATCAAAAGTTTTCAATAACTCATTTCAAAGAAAAATGTGTCTATATTAATATTTTTTTGTTTGTTTGTTTGTTTAAATTTTAAATTTTAATAGCGAAATATTTCAATTTTAAATACTTACAACAAAAGTTTCCAGTTGCCAAATTGAAATTTGTTGGTAGAAAAAAAAAACAGAAAATTTTTCTATTGAATAAAAAAATAGAAAAATTTTCTGTTTCTTTTTTTTCTACCAACAAATTTCAATACACAACTTCTCCGGCAAAAGTTTTAAAGCAAAATGTTTTTTGAATTATTTCGTAGCAACAATTTTTAATTTCTAATAAAATTTTTCGAATTTACATACCTTTTCTTTGGTTTCCGCCGCTAAGCTGTACTATATATGAATATATATGCTGCTATGTAGGTATGTGTATTCCACAAAATTTCCGCAAGCTTCTTATTCCGGTGTGAAATTTATTCGACTTCCTTTTTAAACTGCTTTTGTTTGCATTTAGAATTTACTCGCTTATTGTTGTCGATTTATGTATTTACTATTGTTAAAGTACCATTATTGTTGTGTTGTTAATAAAAATGCTGTGTTGTTGTGTTGTTGTTGGTATAAAGACTTGCACACACTGCACATTGTGCGATTATTTCTATAAAATGCAACTTTGGCATGCACTTCCACAGAGGCAAACACGACACTAGGCACTTCTATTTGAATAACTTTAATTTCCTATTATTTCTTTCTTTTATAAGCGGCACAAAGATGCCAACAATAACAAATATAAATTTAAATTTGCATTTTTGCAAATTTTCCGTTGATAAAAGAATTTGTGTGCTGCACTTTTGGGTAGATTTTTAATTGATGTAGATTGAGTATATTTTTTTAACAATATTTATGTGTGTGTAGTTGTAAATAAATACTTTATTTTAACATTTATTATATTAATATTTAATATTTTTTCTCACGCATTTCTTTATTGCAAAATATTATATGTTTTATACATTTTTTTGTTGGTAAATTTTTTTGTGATTTATTTTTTTAGAACTTATTTTTTTTATTTTTAATGCTTTTTGTTTGTCTTTTTTAAATATTTATTTGCGTAATTTTAAAATTATTTTTAGTTTCGAATTTCTTTAATTTAATTTTTTTTTCAAATTTTTTTGTGTTTTAAAAAATTTTAATTATAATTTTTAATTAATATTAATATAAGTTTTTAATGCTTTATTTTAAATATTATTTAATTAATTATTAATTATTTTAATATCATTTTTATAATTTTATAAATATGAAATTGTAAGGTTTTTTAATTTTTTAATTTAATTTTTTTTTAATTTTTAATTTTAATTTTTCTTTTAATTTATTATTATTCTTATTTATTTAATTTTTATTTTAGTTGCCTTTTTTCACTCAAAAATTTGCCCAGCAGTCAACTTTGTTTTAATTTCTATTTGCATAATTTTCATATTTTTCACATATACATGCAAATTGCTTGGCTGAAAATGACAAGAAGTTGGAAAAAATTCAATAAATTTTATTTATACGAGAGAAAGAGTTTATTTTATATTCATTTATAATTTTATTATTATTGCTTTTTATATTGTCGTTTATTGTTGCTTGTCAATTTCGCCTGACATGCGACGCATGCATGCTGTTGTTGGTATCGTTACTGTATTTGTTGTTGTAGCTGCCTCTTTGCCGCTCTCAAGCAACAGGCGCATTCAATTAACATAAGATACTCAATTTTATGCGCAAATTAATATTGTTAAAGTGAACGCTTTCATGTTAATTTTATTACGCTTTGTTTTTGTATGCCTTTTACAACAGCCATCACAAGCACCACCAATACAACAACAACAGAAATAACAACATTATATATTAATATAATATGAATGTGCGTATGTGTAGAGAACATTTTGCGACCACATGTTGCTGTTATTGCTGCTGCTGCTGCTGCTGCCATCTCCCGCTGTTTGTCGCGTTGTTTGTTGTGGCATAATGCGTTTGTTTAATAAATTCCCATAAAAATTTGTCTACACTCCTTTAGGAGTCGGCACATTGCACATTGCACATTGCACATTGCATTGCATGGCAATGGCAACCCACACAGTTGTCGATTTGCTATAAACAAAATCAAATGTGCTATGAAGTGATCTGCAGTTGGCGTTGTTATGCACGCATGCGCCATGTGTGCACGCAACGTTGTTGTACTGGTATTTGGCTGGTGTGTGTATGTGTGCGCATGTGATATTGCTTTGTGCCATCATCAAAGCATCAGTGCATCGCTATAAACCTTTTTAGATCATATACATACATACATACACATGTTTGCATTTCTAGTCTCTTCGGCGCATGCGCACCGACAAAGTTTAATTAAACGCAAGCGAACATATTTTGGAGCGTCGTGCGCATTCGCCGTGTTTGCTTGGCCTACGCAATGTGCGTGCAGACGCGTTGACGCTATTTCAAGACGTAAAAAATCAAAATAAATAAATTTGCTGTTGTAGTTTATTTGCTTCGCCTGCGCTTTGCTGCTCTGCTCAATATATTATTTGTGGTCATTATGATTTCATTGCCGCCGTTTCCATTTTACGGGCTCGCATTTTTATATTTCAAACATTTCGCTTGATTAAACGCAAGCTATGAAAAGACTTCTACGCGCTTGGCTTATATATTTTCAATAATCTTAGTGCTAATTTAGTTGAGTGTGTGTGTGGCGGATCCTGGCGCGCTTAAAGCCAAGTAAGCCTTTTTATTGCAAGTTTATCCAAGTCCAATTCCAGCTGCAGCTCTTTTTTTCTTGCTTTGCCCTTAGCCGCAGTGCAATGCAGGAGGCATAAAACTTTTAATCGCTTCGGCTTTGTCTGTAAAGAAGAGAAAAAAATTTGTAAATAAAAAATATTTATAGAATTTATTTTTCAGATTTTTTATATCAAATACACAAAATATGATATGTTTGACCCATAGTCCAGCACTGGGGAGCATAAAAAGTGCAGCATGTGCAGGTTAAAAAGGAATTCAAACTTAAATAATCACACTTTTTCTCTCTGAGAGGTAGACGTGCAGGTAAGATAAATGTCGAAAGCTCGGAAGGGAAGCAAGACGCATCTGAGGACACAAATTTAAGAGCAGAGCTGCGTAAATATAAAAATCTTGAAAGGCTGGACAACAAGAGCAACACTCGACGATTCCTTGAAAAAAAAGCTGCGACTTATAAAAGCTCCCAAGACAAAAGGTACGACCCGGTGAGGTGACTATACTGAATTTATGAAGAAAACCCTTCTGGAATCTGTTGAATGACAGCGGGAATGGAACAGCCGATAATTTTTAAACCGATTACCCAATCGATGACAATGGAACAGATGTCTCATTGTCCGACTATGAAGAAGTTCGAATGAGAAACAACAGAGCGGCGGGAGTGGATGGATTGCTGGCCGAGCTATTCAAATATGGCGGTGAATAGCTGATAAGGTGCTCACATCAGCTTTCTTACCTCACAATTGGAACCGAACTGTGCTCTGCCCAATCTACAATAAAGATGATACCACAGTCTGCGCCAATTACCGTGGAATAAGCTTCCTTAACATCGCATATAAAGTCCTATCAAGCGAGCCTACTAAAGCCCACCGTCACAAACTAATTGGACATTATCAGTGTGGTTTTAGACCTGGCATATACATCACAGACCGTATATTCGCCATGCTCCTTGAAAAACCAATCGAAAAGTAGCTGCCTGTTTGAAACGACTGCGTCGGGATCGAGAAGGACTTCAACGAGCCGTTCGATATCAAACAAGGTTTCAGACAGGGTGATGCCTCATCGAGAGATTTGTTAGAAAATATAATATGAGCTGCAGAGCTGAATAGAGCAGGTACAATCTGCTATAAGAGTGCACAGCTGCTGGCGTACGCCGATGATATTAACATTATTGGCGCAGTTCTGCTTTCCTCAGACAGGATAAAGAAGCGAAGCGAATGGATCTGGTAGTGAATGAGGGCAAGACGAAACATGTCTTGTCATCCCACAAACAGTCATCGCATGCGCGGCTCGGCTCCCACGTGACAGTAGACGGTCATAACGTTGAAGTCGTAAGTAATTTCGTCTACCTAGGACGCCGTGAAATCTAACACAGAATCACTCATGCAATCAGGTGCTACTTTGGACTGAGTAGGCAAGTGAAGAGTAAGGTCCTTTCTCAACGAACTAAGACCGAATTCTGCAAGTTGTATGTCGTTTATATGGTGTAGAGGCATGGGTGATTGCAAAATCTGATGAGGAAAGCCGAATACCGCAAACAAAGGTACGATGAGCTGTAGGAGATACTCGGCGATATTGCCACTGTTCTGATATGAAGAGATTGATGGTTTAGAAAGCTCCCGCTTTTAAAGCTTTTGATGCAGTACACGAGGATGTAAGCAGAGAACGAGGAACACCTCCAGACCATTGGAAAGATCAGGTGAAACAGAACCTGGCTGTACTTGGTATTTGTGGCAAGCAGTGTCAGTGCCAGTAAAGAAGAAGAAGAAGAAGAAGAGAAAGGTGTAGAAGAAGAATAAGAATAAGAAGAATGAAGAAGCAGTAAATTAGTTTTAGTTATTATTAATCGAGGAACTGTTTATTTACGGCCAAGTCTATTTATATTTAATATTATTCTGAAAATGTTTAATAGACTTTTACTTTTCATTTTTTTCTCTTTTTGTTAAGCGAAGTCAACAAGCTAAGATTCCCCATACGTCAAAGTAAAAATTAAAATGTCAAACGTGTTGTGGCAGCTGTTGATGTTGACGCGAGAAGAAGACCGACGTTGCGCAATCTGAAAACACAAGCAGCCTCACTCAGATGTGTAGCAACTAAATTTATTTATTTTTCTCATCAAAAAATTTCGAATTTTCCATTGACATTATTAACTGTATTTACAGTGCTTTTGTGCCTTTATTAGCGCAGGCATTGAATGAAAATCTCGCGAGATAACGTTATTAGCGCTTTCTTGCCTACACGTATCTCTGCGTCGGATTGAAGAGAGCCCATTAAAAGTGAAGGGAAATCATTCAGCGAGTTTTACAACACAATTAAAATTGTAATTGTACTTGCCACCTCAGTCGAAGCTGCAACGCCACCACCCCCCAGCGCTGACACCATCGCCATCATCAATATGAACTGACAACCAACAACCAACAACCAGCAACCAGCAAGCGGCAACTGACAACGGCAACGGTTTACTTCAAAGAAATCACTTGGCGAATCCTTAAGACTTTCTGCCAATATTAAATTAGCCGTAAATTTACAACGAAAAAGACAAACGATATGCTATTGAAGAGCAGTTGTTGTTGTTGCTGTTATTGCCAGCATACTTTAGCATGTGGGGAAGAATGAATTGTGGCCTAAAATACAAACGTTAGTATATACATGTATGCATATATAAATATATGTAAACGCACTCATATCTACATACGTTACACGCAATTAACTTCTAAGGTATTTATGGGCAAATTCATTGCACACATACATATGTGCATACATGTATATGCATATGTGTGCGCGTGCAAGTCTGCTTTTCGAGGACGTAAAAATTTTTCATTTCGCTGTGCTTGAGAAAGCAGCGACGTTGGGTGTTTTCATATGCGGACGTATGTGTGTGTGTGTGTGCGTGTGTGTGTTTACATGAAGCCAATAAATCACATTAGCCGTTGACGTGCTGTTATTGGCGGTGGCAGGCAGGCAGGCGGGCAGGCAGTCGACAGCCTTGGTCGTTTTTGTTATTTTTGTTGTTTTTATTCTTCTAAATACTACATGCGCTGCTGAAGGCAGTAATTGCATTAACTGCAAAGTGAAATTGGCAGGCGGAAATTGAGGTGGCTGTGTGTGTTAGTGTGCTGTTTAGGGGAGCGAAGATATTTAAAAATAAATATTCAAAATTACCAA